GACAAGAGAACAGGCACACTTGACAAAGTGACTCGTCCTGTGCACCTCTTCTTTTGTTGTCCAGTTCATTGCGCTTCGTTTCTTCGAGTATATGTATGTTAATCTCCTTTTAACGTGTTAATCGCTCGAGCTTGTATCACACCACGTTTGATTAAAATGTTGATATTCGGAAATGAGGACAATAAAATGAGGCCAAAGAGATTTTGTGTTGAGTGAAATTCACTCTGTTGTTTTCCAGCACATTTCGCGTGACTGCAAGCATTACATAATGCATGATTGAAAAATGCGTGGTTGAAGCGTGTGAAGGACGGTGCAGCCCGAGCAAGCATACACTAAAAACAAAGCGTCACGGACAACCCAGCACGCGCGAGGGGGCTCGTAAAAGAAATGACAGCCTATCCACGGGACGAACGATGGAGAGTGGGGCGAAGCATCCGTCCGTCCATTCGTTCTTGCTCCCGTCCGTTCAGGCGTCCGTCTGTGTGACCGTCCGTGCGTCCATCCGTCCGCGCGTGCGTCTGTTCGTGCGTCCGCACGTCGGTCCCTGCGTCCGTCTCTGCGTTTATCCATGCATCCGCCCCTGCGTCCGTTCATGCGTTCATTCGTCCTTGCATCTGTCTGTGTGTCCGTTCGTCCACCTAGTTAACACTCCAAGTACCACCATCTAGCATCTTTTCATCATACAGGCGTCCGTATGTGTGACCATCCATGCATCCGTCCGCCCGTCCGTGCGTGCATCTGTTCGTGCGTCCACGCGTTCATCCGTGTGTCCGCCGCTGTGTCCGTTCATGCGTCCATACGTCCGTGCAGCCATCCGTGCGTCCGTCGGTGCATCTGTCTGTGTGTCCGTTCGTCCATCTAGTCAACATTCCAAGTACCACCATCTGACATCATATATTCCGCATATAGAAGCACCGCCATCCAGCGGACATTCCAAGGACTAAATGAGAGGTGGCACGCGCACACTTTCTTACGGCTCGCGCTTCGTGTCTACTTCCCACATTTAACCACCTCGAGTTCATGGTATATACTAGTTCACTGTATTCATTGCACTGCGGCCCATTGCTCACAAAACCTTTCTAAAACCAAGGAAGTTACGCCAAGCGAGTTACGCCTTGCAACCCTTTCTTGTCAGATAGTGCTTCATGTTAGATAGGGCCCAAGAACCACCACAACATGCCAATGGCTGCTAATTGAGAATGAGAGACAGGAGAAATCGGCTTTCAATTAACGCCCACGCTGTGAATTTTTCATTGTTCAACAACGCACAGGAGAAATCTCCCACCAGCACCACCTTGCAGGTCAAGCGTAAGACTGCTTACGCACTACGGCCATGAGGAGGGACAAATAGGTGCCGCTTTAAGGAGCTTCGGTCCTAAAAGAATGTGCCCCACGCGTGTGACAAGAAATATAAAAAAGAAAAATGGCGTGTGAGAGAGAGCCAAAGGATGAGGCGCGGCTGGTATTAGTTTTTCTTGACGACGCACATCGTATGCGCCACCATTGAAGCAATTTTCGACTCTGTATCTCCCTCGCCAGAATCGCAAATGAACGGTTATTTGGCACAGCCTGCGCTGACGTCATCAATTAAGACATCTTTTGGTAGGCACTTGGAGTAACCGACCCCTTTTCCACGGAGCAAAAATTCTTCTTTCTCTTTGTTCTGGCCTACTCATGGTCAATCGGTGAGCGGTTCAACGGAGCCGGTTCACTTTAAAGAGTTGAGTCGTTCGAAGCCACTCACTGAAGTGAGCCGCTTCACACACGTCTACTAAACCAAGGAATTATCTCGGTGCATTCAATGTACACAAGTTTGCTTTCGATAAAGTGAGTAATGATTGGGCAAGTGGGCAACGATTGATGAGTCCCTGTTGGCAAAGATCCTCGTGTAAGAGAACTTTATCACCAGATAAATCTTACATCGCTTATGTGTACACAGAACGATAACAATGATGATCATGTGTATGTACAGTGCAAGCTGTTATGTACATTGAAAATGACTTATTTGCGTATGCCGTGATGTACAATGCGAAAATTGTACAAGGACAAATCCTATGACAGAGTATTGCTTAAAGCTAGTGCACTACTTTGTAACCAAACGTAGCAGGAAGTTTTACGCGCGTCAGATGAAAAAGCCTGTGTGAAGCCTCTGGCATGGATCGGGGTTTTCGTCAATACATCTAAATGTTATTTGAGCCAATCGAAGTAAAACCAAGTAACACGAATATGCTTTAGAATCGACTAACATCTCTTATGCCAACATCTCTCCTCCCTGGGCACAAAATATAAGCCCTTGTGCTGGCTACCAAATAATTGGTGTGGTGACCCCAACTACTTGGGTAGCCAGCACGAGAGCTTTCATTATTTTCCTAGCTAGCACCATGAAGAGTGCCTTACTGGCTCTAAGGAACATCTAAGCGTGAGGTCAAGCGAAGCACGCTGCTCCGACTATTGACCTCTGCCAAGCAGTGGGGGAAACCACGACCATGACGCTGGCAAATAAACGCCGGGGTGACACCGATTATTTGGTAGGAGCACTGAATATTAAACGCGTTTTGAAGTGGAATGAATGCAAACACGCACGGCATCAAGCATCATTCCTGGCGTCTATGGTCGCTTATAACCTAAGAGAAAATACGCGCTCCACCCCTAGTGCTGCAGCGCCTGTCAATCACCTGTGCAACAGAACAATGATTGGCGATTACCGTTCTGCTAAACAATTTTGGCTGATTATGACAATACAACGTATACTCTGAATTAGTTATTATTTGTTTCTTGTTCGAATTCAGCGTTCGGCTGAGAAATCAGAATTTTCGATGAAATTTCGCACAAAGTAAAATTTTCGAACGAAAACTATCATAATGAATAGGTGCCTGTACAGCCAAGTCGCTCGGCTGAAATACGTGAAAGGACCTGACTTCACGTAAATAAGCGTTCGCCATTCGTGGCGACATTTATAAAAATTATGCCCGTGTGAGACGGTGACCGCTGAGGGTGGAGCTTACATTTGTTTTCGCCCTCCAGCTACGCACTGCCGCGGTGATGGCGGGGCTGTTTCAACGCCTCTCGTAGCATTAAGATGGAGTTTCATGAACATAAAAAAAGTCTGTTGATTTAACAGTACTGATAGACATTGCTTACACCACGCCCCGCCGCGGTGGTCTAGTGGCTAAGGTACTCGGCTGCTGATCCGCAGGTCGCGGGATCGAATCCCGGCTGTGGCGGCTGCATTTCCGATGGAGGCGGAAATGTTGTAGGCACGTGTGCTCATATTTGGGTACACATTAAAGAACCCCAGGTGGTCGAAATTTCCGGAGCCCTCCACTACGGCGTTTCTCATAACCATATAGTGGTTTTGGGACGTTAAACCCCACATATCACTCATTGCTTACACCACAGACAGACCGAGAAGACGCGCGGGTTTTCTTTTCTTGCGGCCTCCCTAATAGTGACTGTACTGAAGAGGCACGCAGGCCACTATATACGGCACACCGAGCCCAAAGACGAGAGAGGGGTTTCTTTCTCGTCTTCACTATATACCCTTCCCACAAGTGCTACCTCCTGCTCCCCTCCTTCAACTTATTTACCCATAAAAACATGGGGAACATGTCAGTGATGTGTGACTTTGTGATATGTGAGAAGTGGGGAACCTGGCTCTGTGTTGGCTGCCTCACTGCGCGGGGCCACTCGGAGGGTGAGTTCTGGAGCAGCCACATGAGCGCACTCATTACTCGACAGTGAGGCATGACCAGGAGTCCAGAGCAGGTGTATGATGTGTCTTTACATACGCCAACGACAGCAATACTAACTCCCACCAGACTCCTTCACACGTGAGGAGGCTGTCGCACTTCGCCAACTGCAGACCCGAACTTTTCCGAACCTTTATATTTCATAAATAAAGTATACCCGACTCGTTATACTGATGCCTGTCTAGGCTGTGGCGCTATCCCCACAACTTTTCACGTTACAGCAGAATGCTTTGCCGCTTATTTCCCTTCAATCCTTCGGTCCACCCGTAACCCAGAGCAGTGGGGAGGCACCCTTCGTGACGGCGCCTCGGAGGTCTGCCGGTCCCTCATTCTCAGGGCCTGGGTTGTCGCAGAGGTTACCATAAAAGTCCTGGAATAGGTACCCTCCCCGTTTCCTTTCAATTTTCATAAGAAAATGTTTTCATCATCATCATGTCAGTGCTAAACGTTGAGCCCGTGAGTGTTTCAACCTTTTGGCCACACGCGATCATCTCCGCTCGCACAGAAGGTAAAGCATAAAATGAACGGATAATTGATCGTCATGCGATGCGCCACAAAACTGGCGTGCGACTGGGTGGCAAAGCTAGTGTAGGAGACGACTCCCGGTGGAAGTTTCTCGTACATAGACTAGACAATCGCTTGCATTTTTATGGCGCCTCGGGACAAGACTTCTACAATTTTTACAAGTGTGTGTGCCCTTAATCTCGTGTGCTCACGCCATTTTTTTCACGATGAATTTACATAGTCATCAGTTGTGCTGAAAGGACGTAAGACGCTAGGAGGGAATAATGTGCTTGCTGTTAGTAATATGTGAGAGTCCTTTAGGTGCCCTTCAAATAGATGCATTCAACCATCCCAGTGTTTCTCTGCCTCATGACACGTATTTTTTCTTCAACGGCGGCCAATGGAGGTCACAAAATGAAATCGTGTAAGACATAAGAAACCCATTTATTAAGACACTACCAAAATGACATCACGTTCGTTTTCCTTGCAAGCGGTTTTATCTTTGAGGCAAAATTGTTCATGCAAATCTCTCTGTTGGTGAAATCATAGGTGTTTACCTTTTCACTATGTGCATTTTTTTCAGTCGCGAGAACGCTGGATTAGCTGACCTAATCACTGGCCAAAAATTGTTGAGTGGCTTTTCGCCTGCGTACGCAATTCGCTAGGGCGGAGTCATACACAAGTTTGTTGTAAGCAAAGAAAAACGTATGGTTATCAATGCATCCCACAACGCTTTTTTTTTCTTAGATCCCTGACGGTGTGCGGTGCGAAGGCAACACGAAAAGCGGGCTGCCGCATCCAGTGTACGACAACATGCGAGTTTTCAGTTACCGCGCTAGAGTGAAGAGTTCTACCTGGAAGCGCCACCATATTATTCACGTAAGCACAAAAGCCTTTCCTTTCTTTGATAGATTACGTGCATACACTACTTTTTACCAATCGATTTTGGTTCGTAATCTCCTCCAAACACAGTATGTCAAATCATCTTGCTTGAAGTACGATTTAGTATAATTCTCGATATTTATAGTGTTATGTGCTCCAGTAGGTCACATAAAGATTACTTCGTGATGATGACTACATACATTGAATATCAGTAAACCGTTTATACAAAAATCTTTGGTCGTATGTAATAAGTCTTGTAAGGTAAGGACATTCCTGACTTTTACGTTATCAAGGTCGACAAGCATTGGCGAATGAGTAAGCTATTTTCTGAGCTGCTATGCCATTCAATTTCTGAACCGGTATGTCACTTCTCAGAGAATGAATAAATGCCCGAACAGGAGCAAGCCAAAAGAAAGGGCACACCACTACCCTTTCGTTCTATCCTTTCGCCCTGTGATATCGTTTGGCCGGTTCGCCAGTTTCGTCATTATCCGTGGTGCTCTGGTGCTCTATACTAGTTCGAGTGCGTTATTGAAATATGTGTAAAAAAACCTGCTTGCACAGCAGCATATTTGGACTCTCGTATCTCCTATTTCATATTCAGTCATACACTTCATACACTATACACTTCATTCAGGCGCCTGTATCGCGCTGTCTCCAATAATTTCATATATTTTCATTCAAGTATCAGGTATCAAGATTCGTGCAACTTGCATAATTTACAGCGTTAGAATGAAGTGCATATGTACAAGAACTCACACCCATACGGGGTACACACAAACACAGAGATTGATTGATTTGTAGGGTTTAACGTCCCAAAACCACCATATGATTATGAGAGACGCCGTAGTGGAGGGCTGCGGAAATTTCGACCACCTGGGGTTCTTTAACGCGCTCGCAAATCTGAGCACACGGACCTAGAACATTTCCGCCTCCATCGGAAATACAGCCGCCGCAGCTGAGATTCGATCCGCGACCTGCGGGTCAGCAGCCGAGCACCTTAGCCACTAGACCACCGCGGCGGGGCACACACAAATACATAGAAATAGTAAACACGTACAGATTGCATCCACTAATCCGACGCTGAGAGGTGATCTGGCTATAGGAACCAGGCCAGGTGTCTGACTGAAGTCTTGTAAGACTTCAGTCATACGCCCTTCGGACAAGATATAAGATTATTATTTTATTCACGCAAAATACTTACAGCTGCTGTTAAAACCGATGCATGAGATACACGGGGTTCTCAAAACATTTTGCTTTCTTTATCAAAGATCATCGGTCACTCAACCGTGCTTCACCGTAGTGAGCGATCACTCGACCGCTGATTCGAAGATCGCGAGTACAATCTTGGTCGCGGCAGTCGCATTTCCTGGAGACAGAGGGGTAGAAACCCGCGTACTTTGCGATGTCAGTTCACGTTAAGAAACACCAGATGGCTGCCATTTCTAGGAACCCTCCACTGCGCCATCCCTTGTAATCATATCGCAGTTTCGGGGCGCAAAAATCTCATAGAGAGTCAAAAACCAATCGATCACGCAGGTACAGTAAGGCATCCAAAATATCGTACTACTTTGATAACATCACGGTACCATGCCGGGGCGTGATGCAGGATGTGTTAATCACCGTTACTAACTCGAAGACTTACCTCGTAACATTTTAAGAGCGCAATAAGGTGCTCTAATGGCGTTGTTTCTAAGGTCCATCATTAGAACACTGCATCGCTGGATGAAAACACAGACGCCGTCTGAAACGATAGTTTATTGTGACGTTCGCTGCACGCAACTCATTTTCGAAGTGATGGCGGTCGTCATGTGTCTCGCTTTTGGCACGCCATCCTGGTGCTCTCAATTGTGCGCACTCCACAGTAAGGGGCCTTATAACTTTGCAATCTAAGATGCGTGCTCTGTCTCACTTTCAGGGTGCCATTGACACTAATCGGAAGTTGCACCGGCTGGACTACAAGCCTTGGAGAAGCACTTCGTCAAGGGAACGGACCATAATTTTCTCGGGAAGGGAAGGCTTGGTGTACAACATCTCGCAATCACGAGTCTGCTCCGTGGGAAATATCACTGATGTTGTTTTCGACAAGCAGATGGTCTTACATCCCGGATTCATTGAGAGCATATCCCCCAAAACACTTTTCGTAGGAAACAGTCCCGCTACTCTCGCCTATAAAAAAATTGTAAGTCAATTAATTTTTTGTTGTTGTTGATTAGTATGAACTATTCTATGTTGAGAAAAGCCTGCTCAAATTAGGAAATACCTGAGGTCAGAACACTCAAACGCCCTTTTTTTAACTATTGTAAAAGTGTTCACGGCGCTGTAGTTCATATTCAGATAAAATTTTAAAGGAGATGTAACTTACCGGTACAAGAATAATTACAAATAACAGGCAAATAGTATAAAAGATTTACTATGTATACAATAATGCTTGATGCATGAATCAGGCGGAAATCGTGAGAGTGAAACAACAAAAATGCAAGCTGTACTCGTAAAGCTAGCACAACGTTTTACAGTATTGACACATTTTGCGGCAATATAAAAAAGAAAGTATTGCCATACAAGCTACCATCATCTAAACTGTAATGGGAAAGCAAACAAGAAATTCAGCTGGCATACAAAAATACTGTTTATGAGGTTTCAGCAACAGCCATTTCAAGATTGGTGTCAGCCTTTCATTGCGATAGCAAATATAATATTACCTTCGCCGTTGCTGACATGTTCTGTATTAAGGTAAAGATCGACAAAATCCTGCTAGCCATACGTCTTCTTCCCGCGGCCGGTAAAAGCGTGTTTGTGGCGGCGATAAATGTGGCTGAAGCAGGGGTGAAACGAGCTGACCTCGCTAAGTCGCACGCATGGCGCATGCGATATCACCACTCCACGATGAGGCCTGCAATCGATTGCTGCTAAAGCAGAGGAGACGAACCTACTGTCTCGTAGGAGCACGAAGAAATGCGGAGGAAAGAAGGAGTCTTGTATCACTTGAGCAGCAGCTGTGAATTGCGATCATAAGGGTGCGGTCATTATCGCAGATGAGCACACTCTCGCGACAGGCATCAGCAGTCGGTTTGTATACCTTTCTAAATGCGGCGCTCTTAACGCGAAGAGGCTGTGCGAAAGGAGCCTCTCTATATGAATCGACCACATTGTCTTACACTAGCGTTTCGAAGAGTTACGCGATGTCTCATTCAAAACAGTTAGTTGTCGGACTTACCACGCATATCTTTATAATATTTTATTTGTACTAAAACACTGACTTTTAAGTATGAATTTTCTGGTAGCAGCGCGTGCATCAAAAAAAGACTTACGGAGCAAACCAGTTGGTGTGTTTAATTACCAACACATGAATTTTAACAAGACAAAAATTGAGGTAAACATGGCAACTTCAAGAAGTGAAAACTTCTTTATGGGTAATGATAAAGAATGACATTACCAGTTCAAGGCTATTTTATGTACATAGTATTGAAATCTGTTGTGCAAGTAATGTCCTCATCTTCAAGTGATGCAGCTTAAAAATTCTTAAAACGAGGAATTTTATACGTAGATTTGTTTATTTATAAATATCAACGAATCTAAATATTGTGGTGAATATTAAAGTGCGGAACTTTCCATTTCGCACTAGTGTCTTTCACATCATCTCGTTTAGGAACATCACGTTTCAACATGACGAGCACCTTCATTTCAGGCTGTTAAAGGTGGTATTCCCTGTCATGTTTGGGATATTGTCCGTTTTGATTGGCCTTCTAATGGCGTGAAAACTTTGTGGGAGTGGTGCTTCGTCGATAGGGTGAGTACCTACTTCAAAAGCGAGGGTCATTTACGTCGCTTCAAAGTGTTATGCTTTGTGTGTGTGTGTGGTGTGTGTGTGTGTGTGTGTGTGTGTGTGTGTGTGTGTGGTGTGTGTGTGTGTGTGTGTGTGTGGTGTGTGTGTGTGTGTGTGTGTTGTGTGTGTGTGTGTGTGTGTGTGTGTGTGTGTGTGTGTGTGTGTGTGTGTGTGTGTGTGTGTGTGTGTGTGTGTGTGTGTGTGTGTGTGTGTGTGTGTGTGTGTGTGTGTGTGTGTGTGTGTGTGTGTGCTTTTTCCGCCCCCGATATGTAAAAATAACTAAAAGGAAAAAGGGGGGTAGCCCGTACCACCAGGAGGTATAACAGGCTCAAGCCAATCTAACATAAATGAAGAGGGGAAACTTCCCAAATTTTTATTTTTATTTGAAAAAGCCAATTAGTTAAAAAAATAACATGGGTAAAACCTAGTGAGTGCAGCATGAAACTGTAATAAATAAACTAGTTAGCTTCTCAGGAATGAGCAGGTCGATATGCAGCAGCAGTGTATTTCCCCCACTTGAGTTTTTGGAGTTCGTGTGTGTGTGTGTGTGTGTGTGTGTGTGTGTGTGTGTGTGTGTGTGTGTGTGTGTGTGTGTGTGTGTGTGTGTGTGTGTGTGTGTGTGTGTGTGTGTGCGTGTGGTGTGTGTGTGTGTGTGTGTGTGTGTGTGTGTGTGTGTGTGTGTGTGTGTGTGTGTGTTTATTTTAAATGCATTGTCGTTGAATGCAGAAAGTCCAAAAACAAACAACGAAGTGGGATGCGAGCCAGTGGTCTTGAGGATGGGTAAACGTTGACGAGGATGGTAGCAGTGGCCTCTGTGATGTCGAAGCCCATTTCTTCACCAGGAGTCATGTAGCCAGGCACGTCGGGCTGTCGTTCCAACCAGCGATGCAGCAGGGAACCTTGGGCAGCCTGTTTGCCGCTGCGAACTCAGACAAGGCGCCATTAGCAATAGTAACAAGCTTTTTTTAAAAAAAAAGGGGGGGGGGGAGGATTAGGTACTTGCGCAAGCGTTGCGAATCCTATGGTTCGAGTACTTAGGGAAAATGGAGCAGTGATGCTATCGTTATCAGTCGCCGAGGTTTTCCCCCACCTTTGTTGGCATAACTGCGACTGTAATCGAGAGCACTCACGCAAAAGTTGTGATATGGAGGTGATTCGGAGTATGAAGCGACGTCCTGATAAAGTATTGGTAGCTAATACGTGTCATGTGGATGTCATAGAAACAGAGTTGCGCATGACAGTCACTAACTGAAGTAGATACGCGCGAGATTTTCTATTGGTCAATAGCCCATAATAATGCGCAGGTAGTGTTGTATCACTTTTGGGCACACGTAAATGGGTCACAATGTGTTGTGTGTTAGGGCATTCATTAAAGTAGTGTTGTTCGCTCAAGCAAGGTGCACCGCACATACACCTGTCCGATGCAGTTATATTGAATCGATGAAGATAATACTGAAAGTGTTCGTGACCAGATAATAAGTGTGTTAGGTTTTTAGGAGGCGGGAACCATTGAGGAATTTTGTACGGACTTGTGATCCAATGAAATAGCGTTGTCTCAGGTCCCTCAGTCTGCCAATGGGTGTGCCAATATGAATTCAAGATTTTATGAAACTGGGTTCGTACTGACCGAATAGATATTTTGGCGTAACGCACGAAGCCTGATTTCCCTCCTAATGCAGCTGCAGCGTCAGCTTGCTCATTTCCCAAAATTCCCATATGGCCAGGTACATGAAACATTTTATAATTTTGCCTGACGAGATTATATGGTTAAGAAGCAGCTTAATGTTCCGAATTCTTTCATCGTTATCAGTGAGACTTGAAAGCTTCATTAGAAGCGATAGACAGTCTGTGTAAATGTGGGCTGGCGTGTTGAAGTTGTTTGTAAAAATGAAATGAAGGGCTTCTTGGAATGCTCTTAATTCCGTGTCGTATGCGCTTGAAGCGTTGTGGATCTGAAATTTTCTAACAGTTATAATTTTTCCATCCTTTGTCAAAGCAATATATGCCGCACCCGCCGCGTAGGACGTGTATGAGCCGTCAGTGTATACGTGAATGGCTTTTGTTTTGAAAATAACCGCTTCTTCTGATGGTGAGAGTTTAGTGAAAGTAAATTTATATTTTTTACTGGGGTGATGAGCCCACGGACTGCATGGATATAGTATGTCAGCCGGTTTGAATGTTTTTACACCATAATAAGTTACGTTCCGGAGTATAAATAAGGAAAATTCTGCAGATTGTCTGTCCAACTCTAGTGGTAACGGAGGCGCGTTAGCGAGAATCTGTAGGGATGACGTACGTGTGGTGTAAAATGCACCTGTTAAGGAAATTAAGACGGTTCGCTGAACTGATAAAACTCGCGCCCTAATGAATTTTGATGGGAACATAGGCCACCATACCGGAGATGCATACGTGAGAGAGGGCAATATCACTTGACGGTAGAGTCGTCTAATGAGTGTACTTTTTAATGAACGGTGCGATTTAACAAATGCGAGGAGCCGGGACGTGGACACTTCAGCCTTTCCTTTAATATAGTCAATGTGGGCATGAAAATTTAAAGAGGGGTCAAATAATACGCCTAGAATCTTAATTTCTTTCTTGTGTTTGAGAAAAATGCCATCCATGCGGATAGATGGGCAGCGTTTTGATGTACCCATGTGTCCGTTATTAAAGAACACGAAGAACGACTTCTCGGCGCTTACGGTAACTTTTGGTCTCGTGCCCAACCAGATACCAAAGCCAGGACATGCTCAGCCTTTGCTTGTAATCGGAGTCTTGACTTATCTGTGATAACAATGATGGTATCATCCGCGTACGCCTGTATGTGTACGTCGGGTGGCACGGGAAGATTGAGTAAGCTGTATATTACTATGTTCCACAGTAGCGGACTGATAGGGGATCCTTGTGGGCTGCCAATCGTTGTACGAACTGTCTCTTCTGCAACGTTGGTTGAAAAAGTTACAGTGCGGTTCGATAAAAAGGATTTGAGTAGAAAGTACAAGTTTTGTGGACACCTGTGCTTGCGTAAAAAGTTCAAGACTGCAGGATGCCAAACACTATCGAATGCTCCTACAAAATCAAGCGATATGAGTATGGTAGGAAGTTTGGCTGCCTTGTATGCAGCCAATTTGCTTCGCAGTGTGTATAGTGCTAAAGTAGCACTTTTATTGTGCGTAAAACCGTATTGATTATTGTGAAGAAGATTATTATTGTGCAGGAAATAATACAGACGAGCATTTAAGAGTCTTTCTAATACTTTACTTAATACAGAGTTCATAACTATTGGTCTATATGCATTAGGCGAATTGAGCGGACGTCCTGGCTTTGGTATGAATATTACTTTCCCTCTTCTCCAAGCCTGTGGGAAGTGTCCGATTCTTAAGGCGGTATTGAAGATAAAATAGAAAAATTGAGGATGGTATTCAAATAATCCTTTAATGAACGAGTAGGTTAATCCGTCGTGTCCAGGGGCAGAGTGTGAGTTACCCTGTTTCATCGCGCACTCTATCTCAGATATTGTAAAAGGAGGGTCAAAAGTATGCCACGGGTAAGGACTAGCCGCAATGTTACGCATGATAGTGTGGTGCATGTTATCTTCAGAACAGCTGTCCACTACTACCAATGTATCGAGTAGTAGCCGGGCGGACTCCATTACAGAAGCTGTGCGAGTGCCGTTAGGTAAATCTAGAGGAGGAAGAAAAGTTACTTGGTGGTGTTTTTGAAATGCGGTTTTGAAAACATCACCATATAAACATTTCTTAGTGAGAAAGTCACAAATGTCTTTATCAAACGATGATTTTGCTTTCCTGATTTTGTCCTTGTAGGTTGAGAATGCATCAACGTATAATTTGCGATACATGTCTCGAAGAACGGGGTCAGCTGTTCGCTGGTATCGTCGTCGCATAGCCCGAACACGCTTACGTTCAATAGTCAATTCTGGTGTCCACCAACCATTACCTAAATTACTACGCGATGTTATGCGTCTTGAGTAACGTTGGCTTAAAGCGGAGTATATCGCATAAAACTTGTCTATAACCATGTTTAGGGCTTCAGGTGACCCAATGTTGCAGCCGAGTATCTTTGTGAACCAAGTATCGTCCTTTAATTTGTTAAGAATTTTCGTTCTTCCTAGATTAGTCAATCGTTTAGCACTGCTGGTATGTGCTTGCGAAAACGAGAATTCAATGTAGTTGTGGTCCGAGAGAGTAGGAATTTGGAGAACCTTCCAATGGTAAGCATCACGAGTGAGGTCATGCGAAACCATGGTTAAATCTATCCATGAATCTGCATACGGAGTTGTGAAAGTTGGAGAGGAGTAGGGGTTGTTCAATATGACTAAGTCATTCGCCGTCACGAATTGGACTACTTGAGAGCCTCGAACATCCCCTATAGCTGGCCCCCACATTCTATGCTTAGAATTGAAATCTCCGGCTATGATGACAGTACAATCTGTAATCAATGAAACTACACATTGCAACTCATCCAGAACTGGGTCAATAGGTCTTTGCGGCGGTGCATACACAGCAATCAGTATTAATGTTTGGTCAAGGCTTTCACACTTTACTGCAACAACCAAATCTGTTACGTGTAAAGGGAAAAAGTCAAAATTAGTGTTGTGCACTAGAAGCATGACGCGAGGATTGTTTGGTGCGTGGAACTTTGTTATGGTGTGTGGTATGCCTTGAACAGTGCCTGCGCGGATGTGCGGGTCACACACGAAGGCGAAATTGAAGTGTTGTTGCGTCATGTGTTCTATCAATAATTTTGTGGCATCACGTGTATGGTCTAGATTAGCCTGTAAAAATTTTAAGTTATTGCTGTGAGTCATGATAGTTCTGATCAATTTTAAATAACAAGCGCAACGCCTTTCCTAAAACAAAAATGCGAAAAGCTGTAAGGAGCCTTTTTTCATGTATTGCAGTGTGACCCGCGCAACCAGCAAATATCTTGAGGAAAGAAATATCGTGTAATTTTGTGGGATGTGCAGTTACTTGTAAGTGTGTGTCATATGGTGTAATTTTGTGTATGAATATGTCGTAATTAGAAGAATAGCGGCAAAAGCAGCGACCTCCATGTGATCCATATAAATGAGTCGAAAAGGATGCGGGCACTAATGCAGGAAATCGTAAATAACACTGCACGTTATAGAGGCCGCTGCGTCCTTCTTTGATGTACACGCCTCCTGGATTATCCATAGTCTGTTCTGGCCCTCATGCGGGCGACACGTTCTCGTAATATAGGACACATTTCGTGTCCAGTTGGATGAGAACTAGGTCTTGCGACCTTTTGGCATTCGTTGCAAACAATTCCTGGATCGTTCATCCTAAGAGTGCATGCTTCGCCTAGATGTGTACCCGTGCACTTCGTACACACCACTTTGTCCGGTTCGTTGGCGACAGGACAGGACTTTCTTGTATGGCCGTACGTTGCACAATATGTGCACAATGGCACATGAAAGTCCTCACTCACGCTACATGCTGTCCAACCGAGAAGAACTCGTTCCTGAGCAAGCAGTGAGCGACAGGTGGAAGGATCCACTTCGAGCACATGAGTGAAGTTGCCCGATCGCTCCTTGTACGATACTGCCACTCGGCATGTGGTCGGGTCTAAATGTAGGTTCGGATTGCGCATGTTTAGCTGTGAGATGATGTTGGCGGCTGGAATATCGGAGTCTACACCAGTGAGTTTGACGCGAGGTTTTCGCTTTTGGGGCAATCGGACTGACAATGACATGCTTGTGATTGCGTTCTTTTCAAGTGCACTTTTAACCTAGTAATAGCGCTATGGTCGTTTGTTAATATTGTTAATCCATGACGTGTCTTTCTGATAGTCAGTTCGCCAATGTTTTCCCTAATAGGGTCAATGTTTGACTTAATAATCTTCGTGACCTCATTGGCAGGATTGGTAGACGGAATGAGTGGGGTTAGAAACATAATATGTTCATGCTCTCGCCTGGTGGTGTGCGTTGTGTGTTGGTCAGCGATTTCAGACCAGTGCGATGGCAGTACAGGGTGAGAACAAGTCTCAGGCCAAACGGGCGGGACCGCGGTAGGACGCACCGTGCTCCGCGCGGCTGCCGCCGCATAAGTCACGGCCGTTTGGACAGGCCGAGGAGCCGAGAGTGCCGCACCGAGAGAAGCCGAATGTCTCGACAGGGCCAACTGGTGACGAAGTTCGTCCATTCGCCCACCCTGGTTTTCTGCAATTGCTCGGATATCAGCACACTCCTGTACAATTTGTCGGAGCAAACCAATGATCTGGGACCTATGGGTATTAGGCACCTTACGTGAGGCATCGAATAAAATATCGTGGATCTGTTTCTGATGTGCGATCACGCGATGAAAAGAAGCTTGCGTCATTTGACCACTTTCGGCAGGCAGCCTTCCATTTTGCGCCTCACCCGCTGCAGCAGGCAACTGGATGTTAGTAACGTCGGGGATTGCGGGAACGGAAGTAACTGGCGCATTCTGCAAATCTACATCGAGCAGCGCCCTGTCCCCGTCCGGCGAAAATGTCGAACCATTCGATCGAGGCGAATCCCCCGGACCAGGGTGACTGCCTGCCATTGGAGGCTGTACAGAAACGGCCTGTGGCTCAGACATACCCGAGTGGGTATGAGCCAGCCATGTTGGAACCGGCAGCCGCTGGCCTATAGTACGACTGGTAATTGCGGCCAAATGGCCACTGAGAGAGCCTCGAGTCCGTGTCGAACGGAATCCCAAGGTGTTCGAAAGCAACCCCTGAATAAATTCAGAGAGCAGGAAGACAGAATAGCTGACCTTTTGCAGCAAAAGAGTGGAGCCTGTGTGCGTCAAGCCTCTTCTCTTTCTTCGTCGTCTTCGTGTGTGTGTGTGTGTGTGTGTGTGTGTGTGTGTGTGTGTGTGTGTGTGTGTGTGTGTGTGTGTGTGTGTGTGTGTGTGTGTGTGTGTGTGTGTGTGTGTGTGTGTGTGTGTGTGCGTGTGCGTGTGCGTGTGCGTGTGTGTGTGGGGGGGGGGTGTTTGCGTAGATTTAGTCACATCCACGATGGTAACGAGATGGTCGAAATACAACACTACTTATTCCGCCAAGTTTTCTATTTTTCACTTCTTTTTGTTACTCGTTTTGTTTCAGTCGTACTTTTCACAGCCTTCTGCGGCAACTTCATCTCATGTTGTCAGCTTGGATATACATGTGTTAGAGGTATGCATTTATTTGTACTGATTCATCGTTACTTATTGCGAGGCACAATTTCACTCAACATTGTATTAATACATGCATGTTACTGTTTAATGGACCAAACAAAAGTTTATATTCAAACTCACTGTTAGATTAGCAAGCAGTTTTGAAGCATTAAATTTAATATATTCGTTAAGCAACGGCTTTTCAAAGACAAAACTTTGTTTCATCTTAACTTTTCTTCAAAAAAACAGAAGGAAACGTGAAGTGCTAGCAGAGACTTCTTCTTCGGCCTTTTCCTTCTCTGTATATTCTTCTTGCGTATTGGCAATCACCTACCAATGATTATTTCACAGTCCAGAAGCCTTATCAGGACCAATCTTTTCTTTGTTAGTGTTCCTACTCAATTTGTCTTCTAAAACTATGCTTGAAATGCAATACAAACTGTGCCTTTGAATTGCAGTTGCCACCAGCACCATCATTTGGCTTGGAACCAACAGAAACACTCTCGTTTCAATTTTTTGACTTCAACAAGAGGCCTTCCGCGCCTGTCGAACTTGGTGGATTTGACATTTCGTCATGCTACAATGCGACCTCACCTGAAAAAAAGATAGAGCTTCCACTAGAAGGTCAGTGGAATTTTTTTTTCGTTTTAATGCGCATATTTTGTAATGTTGCATGAGTTTACATGGCAAACTATTCATAATATGCAGCTATATTGTTACTACAAAAGTGCGAAATATCATTGAAATTACTTGGATTTTGCGAAAACGCTCTTTCGCCGTAGGACAGTACATTGTCAGCCGATCAAGTATCGCACTTAAACTCTTGAATAACGTTTAACAACATGCTGTGACGACGTGTTGGTGTGACTCGGTTTACATATGGCCCACTAAATTAGCTGGCCTCAACCCTGGCATTTTGAGTGAAACCACCAGCATGCGCTGATTTTCAATGTTCTCCGAAAGGATAGCACCGTTAAGTTTTGTCGTTAGTCAGTTTTAACTGAATGAGCGCGTATAGATTTAACTTGAAATTTACGCATAGCCATCTGCTGAGGCCGATATTCGAATATGACTTCCTCAAAAGAAACATAGGTCGCTTGTGCACTACCGCCATGACACGGACGGCAGGAAGTACGCTGTAATAGTCCAAGTAAGTGGTTACGAGCAACGGCGTACACGTAGGACTGTCAAGGGCGAAGTAATCATACCATTAGATTTTGCAACATTGCGTCGCACTTCTTGTGCCACATGTAGTTTAGTTTTGCGAAAGTACTATTGGTAGATTAAGAGACATAGTATAGCGTAAACTGCAACGCGTGTGTGCCACTCAAAGAAACGCTCCGCGTTCTTATGTTATAAGTATACGCATGTATATGCGAGAAAACATGCTTGTTACTTTTGTCATAGGAATTGCTATAACATGAAAGTAAAATTTCTTCTTACAGGAGTCCTTAAAATGTTTGTTGTACGTTGATATAAGAGAACATATACAGTGTCAGTTGGTGTTCGACAGCTCACGCACTGTTTAACGTAAATGCATCCACGCTGACGCTTGCTGATACATCTCCATGCCGACAGCTAACGTTCACAATCAATGATTTATTATTTATTTACCATATCCTTGTGGTCACGATTTCTGTGGTAGCTGTAGCAGTTTACGATGGAAGCTTATACAAAGAAAGCACCGGGACAGCCAAGTGAGCGTGAATAATTGTACTCGAGATATGAGCTATAAGGTCGCCTACTCGTGGACGTTAGATTTATTGAACAGCACTGCATTACAGGGAAACGCAATATGCGTTGTGTCGTCCCTGTCAGCCGGCCACGGTTTTTCGCGGGTTGAGCGTAAGTGGGGAATGCCGAGTAACCTCCAGGTGAAAGCAGGCGCGTTGCAGCATATATACTCTCTGCGATGCAGAACTATTTTTGGTATAGATGGATGCTGTGAGCCACGCCATAACTATGGGTTAAAGCGTTGACAAAAATGCACTTTATTGATTAGAAACGCACTGAGTAGGACGGACACGTAGAAACTATGCATTGCAGGAACTCATCGTGGATGTCGCGGTCACGATGCATTACACTTTACGAAAAGCACCGTCAGAGGAAAGAGGTATACATAAAAGATCTGTTTTGAAAGTGTATGAAGCAGCAGACAGATAGTGTGTCCAGTATGTTGTCGCTGACAGAGAGGTTGTGGTTGTGCTGTTCTCTGATTGTGTGTATTTTTGAAGTCAATCATTTCCGTGACGGAAATACACCACTGGAGTCTACTGGATTCATGCTGGAGTGTACCCCAGCATGAATCTCTTTCGGGATAAAACAATTGGATGACCTGGGACATGCGTGCACACAGAGCTCTTAATGAAAAATAAAGAAGGGAAGCTCCAGTTTTCAGTTGAAATAATTGGCTTTATAATTGGTTGTTTCATTCTAAATTCTTCATTTCCAATAGAGGCGGGAATGTTGTAGGCCCGTATTCTCAGATCTGGGTGCACGTTAAAGAATCCCAGGTGGTCGCAATTTCGGGAGCGTTTCACTACGGCGTCTCTCATAATCATATGGTGGTTTTGGGACATTAAACCCCACATATGAATCAATCATTCTAAATTCTTCTAAAAAAGCAGGTGATAAATGTGTTTCATCATTGCACTCTGACACGAAATCACATTTCAGTGGCTTCTAAGTCACTGCGACATATTGGGCAACAAAGATGCCGATGCAGCTCCTCGATCAACACACAAAGACGGTGTAGAAGAATATATTCCATTCTCAAAGAGTGATGCGCCAATGAAAACGCGAAAAATTGCTAATGAAGATGTAAAATTCGTGTGGAACACAGAGTGCTTGCGGCACACGCGACTGCATAGGCTGGAGCCGTCTCGTCGACTTCGGCCCCCATCCGGACTCTCTCGACTTGAGACAACGGTGCTTCGGCGACTGTGGTTTGGTGTCGATTTCACCAAAGTTCTTGCCTTCCGAATCGACATGAAAGACAGTGCTGATTGCGATAATTCCGGCAGCGATGAAACGATAGAGCACGTTCTCTGTCCCTTCCCTCGCTACACTGCAGCGTGCAAAGACAGCGGCATGCTGCTGCATTAGTCCGCCTTGACAGCAGACCCTTATCAGAACAGTCGGTGCTCGAAAACCGACATAATCGGTCTTAGCATAGAAAATCAGTGAAAGCCTTATTGGACATTTTACTTGGTATAGTGACCTATTGAATAAGCATTTGCACCCTGTTGCGACGCGCACCTCCAACGACGTTACGAAGGGCGCCTCGAAATCCCACCGCTGCCACCACTATTGCGAAGCGCACCTCCGACGACGTTACGAAGGGCGCTACGAATCTCACCGCTGCAACCACTGTTTCGAAAGACGGCGACGCCTACACGGTCCCAAAGGCGCCACTGCTTGGAACTCCGCAGGGCAGGTCACCAGCCGTTTGGTAGCGTAGGTTTCTCAGCTCACGACTGCTTCTGCGCTGAGCTGATAGACGAGCGGACGAGACGACGGTGAGTTAAACAAGGTTTATGTACAGCATATGTACTGAGGCGTTACAAATTCGGCACTGGGGCCGACAGAGACGCGAAGAGCTTCTTTCTAACACATAGCTCTACTCTAAAATGGGTCTGCTGTCCAAGGGGTCTCTTCAACGCGCCGCAGGGCTTCTTTTATATGCAACGGGTCCAACCCGAATGTCCAACCAGAAGCGCCGCTGGTCGCGAGGTCAGAATCCTCCAATGAGGTAGCCGCTGGGCTGCGTCCTTCTTTCTCATCGAATCTGGAGAGGCTGCGCTGCAGGTGGCTGCACCCAAGGATGAGTGACGTCGCCGCGCATTGCGTAAGCCGCCCCCCGAGACAGAAAGACGCCAGTTGTTTACTCGACGGGCTCGCTGGCTGCGCTGACTCACTGCACGTGCGCGCCAGAGAGGCGCCGCGCGTGTTTACGCCGTTGAGTTGTTCGCATCAGGCGAGCTGGCCTTGACACAGATTGCCTTTTTCAGAGGCACGGACGTTCGCTGTCGACTCGCAGGCATAACAGCACCCCCGCCGCCAGACATTGCGCCGAAAAGACGAGCTGCTTCCACGGGGCTCGGATGACAGGCGCGCTCGTTCGCCAGGTCCCTCCAGGTTCGCCTCCAGGGCCATGGGGAGAATGCAGCTCCAGACTCTGTTCCGGGAACACATCCCATTCATGAGGACGGATCCCAGCTCCACTGGCTTGTCGCCACAACTTGTCGACCAGCTTCGCTCGTGTCTTCTGACGATCCTTGGTTTCAGCACTTGTCGATGGTTCTGCAACTTGTCAAGAACGGTTCGACAACAGAAAACACAAGCAAGTGCCCTCGGTCACCCGACAAAACACCAGACAACGTATAGTACAACATATACCTAGCTATGTGTCTATCGTAATTTCATTCCCTCTACATCAAGAGGCACATGGGGGAAACAAGACCTTTAAAATGACAACTCAATTTTTTTCCCACGTACAACAACGTAACGAATTAGAATACAACATAAAGTTGGCCCCTTGAGCTCACTCTGGACGAGAGCGCTCAGCTCAGGTCGTGATGAGGTCAAAATTTTGCCCCGAATCGCCAGCGAGAAACCGAAAGGTTGAGAAGGTACTAGCTAGAACGCACTGCTCAATGCACCTGCATTAGCGTTTAGCTTTCCTTTTTTCTTTAGCGAACGTCAAAGTTGCGCTGTCGGAGTATCACGCTCCATCTCAATAACCGGTCACTTTTAGGCGACGATACCTATGCGGTACCAAGAGCGGCTCATACTTGCGACGTTGCAGAGAGGAACAACGATACGGTTTGCTAGAGATCTGCTCCTCACAAGTTAGCTCCATATCGTGTTCGATCACCGTCGTGTCTCCGGGATGGTCCGAACACACGTCTCCGATCTTGGAAACAATCTTTCTCGGGTCCTCCTTTTGGACTTCACTTAACCTAGGCTATAGGTTCAACTGCTCCAAAATTACCTCCGATCCCCTTTCGATTACATCACTAAAACTCCAAATTTCTGCTCCCTCTTCCTCTGAAGCATTCAAATGCAGATTTACGACTGCTTTCGAGTTACTGTGGTAAATTTTTTTCGGCCGCCTTCCTAATTTCACTTCATAATTCGTATCGGAAAGCTTAGATATTACTTTGGCTGGCCCTTCCCAATGAACCTCAAGCTTGTTCCTTTTGGACGGCTGCAGCAGCATTACCTGACTTCCTACTTCAAAAGCGCGCTTTTTCACCGACTTGTCGTTATACTCCTTCGACAACACTTGTGCAGCTTTCATGTGGCTTTCCCCAAGCGCTTTAATCGAGAGGTCCGCACGCTGCTCTCGAATGGGCGTCTCCCAATCAACCCTCGACAGCTCGCTCCAACTTTCCGCTACAGGCGAGAGCGTTGCAACCCTCTCGCTCTGACTCAATGGCGCCATGTCGTCTCCCCTTTCTACGGAAACCGCGCCGGTCGCTTCGGCGACGTGCCGCTCGCGTGACTGCTCACATGACTCACGCGGAAAATTTCCTCTCTGAGGTTCCGTCGACTCACCGCCAAGGTCACTTGAAAGTTCACCGCATTGAACAAGATCAAGCTCCTGCGAAAGCTTCCGCGCTTGCGATCGCGTGAGGGCCATGTACGCTAAGTTGGGGAAGAACGATTTACCCTGCCCTTTGAGAAGCTGCTCTGAGTTGTTGGAGAAAAGATAAGGAAAACGATCGGGAAGCGCGGCAGACACAGCCGCTTCGGTGCGAAGCTTACCGAACGGGCCTTCAATGACAACCATAGCGATTGGTAAGCAAGCACTCTGCTTTTCGGCGACTTGCCTAATCCACGCGCATTCTCCTGTAAAGTCATCCGGAGACATCAATGAAGGATGGACAACGTCCATGGTTGCCGCTGAGTCACGAAGTACTCGACACTTTTTCCCATTCAGACTATTTTTTTTGGATACACGGCTCCAACAACCGCATGTTCTTTTCCGATTCTCGGATTGTTGCAAACGCAAACTTTTGCTTACAGTTTATCGCGATGTGCCCTTCCTTTTTGCAGTTGTAGCAGATTAGTGGCTTCCGTGATTCAAACGCCCGTGTGGAATCAGTGCGTTGTTTAGGAACCTCACTCGATTTCTCCACTTCCGTTTGCCCTTCCCCTACAGTGTCCTTCGTAAGAGACGGGTCCTTCTTGAAATTACGGTGCGGAGCGGGTTTCCGTTGATCAGGTTTCCTTGAAAAGCCCTCTTTCCTTTCATCCTTTTCCACGCGCACTGCCCTGCTATGCAACTTTCGGCGAGTATAATACTCCTCAGCTAACTCTGCTGCCTTGTTTAGCTGTACTTCACCAAGTTTGTCCTGCAGCCAAAGTTTGACATCCTCCTCGATGCAGCGGTAGATTTGCTCCAATGCAACGCATTCCACCACTTTATCGCAGTCATCATAAACACCTTCGCCCTTGAGCCATTCAATTAAATCGGCTTTGAGACGAAACACGAAGTCCACGTGTGACTCATTCCCCTTTTTAGGATACCGGAACCTTTGCCTGAAAGCCTCGGGTGACAACTTAAAACGTCTCAAGAGCACTTCCTTAACCTCGTCATAGCTCTCAAACGCTTCCCTCGACAAGCAAGTTATCGCGTCGGACACTTCGGCGGGAAGAAGAGCTAATAGGTTCTGCGCCCAAAGAGACCGCTCCAAAGCGTTTCGCTCACAGACGTGTTAAAACTTGACGAGATACTTCGCCATGTCCTCGCCTGCTACGAATGGTGGCAGTTGGTCCCGAATTCTAAAACCGCTGACCTGAGCTGTTGGAGAAGCTACGCTAGGCGCCTGCAAACACTGTAGGATTGCCAATTCTATTCGTTTCAACTCGAGGCGTACCTGTCTCTCGGCCTCCTCGCGGCGTTCTCGCCTTTCAGCTTCTTCACGTTTGTGAGCTTTTCGCCTTTCTTCAAGTTCGCGAGCCTCTCGCCTTTGAGCTTCTTCACGTTCGCGAGCTTCTCGCCTTTCAGCTTCACGTTCGCGAGCTTCTCGCCTTTCAGCTTCTTCACGTTCGCGAGCTTCTCGCCTTTCAGTTTCCTCGCGGCGTGCTTTGATATCCACCCAGGCCTCATCGACTTCCTCAGCCGACACTCCCTCATCCTTCATGATCTCAAGGATCGCTTGCTTTCGTTTCGCACGGCCCAAAGTAATGCCGCTTTCCTCACAAATTTCGATGAGTTCCTTCACTTTAAGGTTCTCCATCATTCACACTAGCCTCTTGCTGTTTGCCCCTGTTAATTTACTTGCCTTATCCGCTATAAGCCTACTAGCAAGACTCGCAAGCAATTTTAAACACTCCCGTGTTTACACCCTCCGCATTACCTTTGGTTTCAAAGCGCTTCGACTTGGCTTGAAACGATCAAAGCTCACTCTAATGCTTCACACAGCCCTTCTCTAAACTACTATAACCTGAGCTAGAGTAGTCTGGTGAACTGAGGGGAAAACATCAGGCACTCACCGCATCGATGTCACTGACACCGGCCGATCCCGCAGCTGCCAACCACTGTTGCGAGGTAGGTAGGTAGTAAACTTTATTCACTCAGTTGACAGGAGAGAGTTGGGGACGGCTTTAAGGGCCGGCCCCTTACAAAATCTAGGAGGAGTCCCTAGTCCGGGACCCCTGTGGCTTCTTCTGCAGCACGCGCTCGGGCCACTAGGGCACGCTGGTCCTCTAGGGTCGAGCAACCGAGCAGGGCAGCCTCCCAGCTCTCTCGGGTAGGGAGGGAAGGGGAAGGAAGTGGTGGGACCGCCGGATTTGAGGGGCATGCCCACACCATATGGAAAGTATCCGCGAACGGATGGTCACAGTGCGGGCATTCCCCAGAGAATGCCGGATTGAAATGTTTGAGTATCGCCGGGCACAATACTGCATTGGTATAGAGACGGAGGAGCCTGCGCTCGTCCTTCTTGGGCAGGCCCGATGCTGGGGGTGGGAAGCGGAGCCTGTTCGATTTGTACATAGCGGTGATTTCTCTGAAAGAGGTAGCCGGATTGGGTTCTGGAACATCAGGCGATGGAGGGCTAGGCGGGTCCCGGTAATTAAGCGCGCGGGCCGAGGCA